CTGAAAGGAGTACCAAAGAAGTACATTAGCCTTATTCAGGCTCTCTACTCGAACACAACTGGTAGAGTGAGAGCTTATGGTGAACTGTCATCAGAATTGATTACATCAAGTGGTGTTCGTCAGGGCTGTCCACTCTCTCCATTCTTGTTCAACTTTGTGGTCGACGTACTTTTAGAGATAACACTCTCCTCATCTAAATTTTCAGGGGTTGAACTTCTACCGGGAGGTTCACTTGTTGACTTAGAATATGCTGATGACATAGTTTTATTTGGTGAAGACGCTGACAAAATGCAGTCTTCTGACCACTCTAAGCAACAATGCAAGCATGTTCGGGATGCCATTCTCTCCCTTGAAGTGCAAAATGTTGCTTCAGGATTGGGTTACATCGAAACCCGAACTAGTGATAGGGAGTGAAGTAGTTGAGTGTGTCGACCGCTTCACTTATCTTGGAAGTCTTGTCAGCCCTTGTGGTCTGGTGTGTGACCAAATCTCAGCACGGATACAGAAGGCTTGACTAGCTTTTGCCAACTTGCGTCATTTATGGCATAGACGAGATATCCGTCTATCAACCAAAGGACGGGTTTACTGCGCAGCAGTACGTCCCGTCCTACTTTATGGCAGTGAAACATGGCCGGTAAGAGTAGAGGATGTTCGTAGGTTACTAGTATTCGATCATAGGTGTCTTCGAAATATTGCTCGTATATCCTGGGACCATCGAGTAAGTAACACAGTTGTTAGGAAACGGGTACTAGGTAAGGATGGCAAATCAATTGATGAAGTGGTGAAACTTCATCAGTTGAGATGGCTGGGACACATGTTACGCAAGCCCAACGACCGACTGCCTCGACGTGCGATGTTCAGTGGTATAGGAGTAGGTTGGAAGAAAGCTAGGGGCAACCAGACCAAAACATAGCACAAATCCATGAAGTCACTGACAGGTAGACTGAGTCATGTTGGTAAGTGTAGACTACCTCGAGATGATAGCGGCCGATGGTTAGAGACCCTGAATGACATGGCTCAAAATCGTTTGCAATGGCGCAGGTGCATACACTTTGTGTTCTCCCAAATTTTGATCGCCTTATTCCTTCTTGTCTTTTTTTTCTCTTCCCAAATTTATTTCACTGGATTATACTCTTTAAATAACATCTCCAAACCCTAATCTTCCCGATTACTGCTTACACTCTTGCTACCTCTACCACTACGGGATTTGAATCGACAACTGCATCTTTGTGCTAATGTGGTATGTCAACTCGAACTGATGTACGTGCGTACGAAGTTCTACGTTGTTCCTCACTGATTGACTGATATCAATAGATAGTATGTAAATAGAGTATCAACAATTGGATTAAGCTTGCTCTGAAAACTATTACCAAATGTATATTCACAGTGATCTTAACTGTCACGATTTGAATTGTTCTTACCACAATATGAAATGAGTGATTGAAATGTAGATTGACAAAAGGTCTATGCAATGATCCTAAGGCAAGCGAAAGGAATTGTAAGAATATCAGTCATAGACACAACATAAGATACTTTGTAGATGTGTCATCGAGACTGGGATTAAAGTTAGAAGTTAACAAGATTATCATTGAGATCGGGTGACTGGACAGTAAACACCAGATAATCTTCAGTTCCACACTATTCATTAAATGATTCCACAACACATAGATTTCAGAGTTCCATCTCGTAACAATATTGGGAAAGTCATAACGAATTTGAGGATGACAAAAGCGCCTAGATATTGAGTCAACCTCAAGTGTTTTAAAGGATCAAAACCCATGATTACTGAATAAAGTGAGTGATAGGTTAGCCAGGGTTTTGGAAGCTGTACATAATTCAAATCACTTTGGTCACTGATTGTTTCTATCTTAAAAGAAATAACAAGAATCTTGTGACAGCTAGAAAATAGATTTTGTAAAATCTTAAAAATAATCCGGGAACACAAAACCTGAGTATGCACATCCTTCAACGGGCCTTGAAAACAAGAAGCTCGTGCTGACTCAACTGTAGCTGCGTCTCATGGCTCAAGTTTTATAATACCTCCACTGAGGGACTAACCAAATAAGGACTCTTTTTCTCAAACTTTCAATAAAATCAGACATTACGATGAAATCACTGATTTTTGTTCATCCCTTCTATTTTACCGACTTTGGTTAGGATTTTAAAGACGGAAGTTTGCTTTACCCAAAGCCCGAACACCATCTACTCCATCGCATTAGTCCATGAATGTTAGCCTGAGTTATTTAGCAGGGTAAAAATTGTTATTTTGTAAGATTTATGCGATAACTGTAATCATGATTCAAAAAAGCAGTATTCAAGAAATAGTACAGTAACCCAAGTGAGTTCTCTATGTTCAACTAAGTCATGATCAATATATCACCATATACTCGATACTCTCTAATTGAATTTGCTTTTTTCTAGTTAATCTTCACTTCTTGTCTTTTAGCTAATTTCCTATCCTTCTGCTGATATAAAATGTGGCCAGTTGAAGAACGCAGTCAATTTAATTAGAATAGATAAATTTTGTAGAAAACAAGATTAACGTCCTCACAACTGAACCTGTTCAGTATGAGTCAATCAATATTTCTTTTTATTCCCACAACACAAATAAGCCTGGTTGTTACTAGACAGCAATTATTAAACCCTTCAAGCACACATTTCCTGTGCTTGGCTTTGAACCACACCATAAATGAGGGTTTGTGATACCACCCGAGCAAAATAGGCAAAGGGATTTGAACCTACTGGCTAGTGTTTAGAAATCGGACACACAACCATCAGCCCATCGCTTATATATCTGTGGAGTTACCATTTTGTATAAGACGCAACAGTAAGACGGTGTGTTTGACAGGTAAGTGTGATTATTAACATAACTTTATGTAATTTTTACATTAATATTATAATTACAAGTTTCCACTTGGCTTTGAAAATAAAAAACAAAGCTCATCAGACGTTGAGCAAACAAGAGAAAAATGAATCCAGTATAGTTACTCACTATCTAAACATAACTGTGAATAATTATGACATAAATGACCAAATAGATCGAACACATATAACACGCTCACACCAGTCGCTGTCTACAATATCACTAATTAAATGAATAGTGACTTTTATTTCATTGGTATTGTAGTTTAAAAGGAAAGATTCAATAGTTAAAGCTCTCACTTACGTTTACTTTTAAGGGAAAAGACAATTATGACATCATGAAGCTAAGGAAAATAATGGTGAAATAATTACGAAGAGACATCACAAGTGAAAATAGAAACTTCGTTATATATATCATGTTGAGGTTGTATGCTTTGTTTGCGAGAGTTAAAAATCTCACCAAGATGGAAACTACATAGGTTTTATGAATTAGAGAAGGGACTATTTGGGATTATGTATCTATGTATGTTGTTTTGGTCTGAATATTATGAACAATAAAAAATATACGAATAAAATTTATTTAAATATGAAATAGAATGCATTGATGTGAACTCTGTATGAATGAGAAGAGAGAAGGTGGATCAACAGGTAAAATTTCCAATCAAATACACGTTCACAATGTGAATGAATTACATATATGTATATTCAGATTACACATTAATAATTAACAAGTAGAATTGCTAGAAATATAGTCAAAACTTTCAATTATCTATAATGTATGTAGAAATATATTTTCAATAGATTCTTAATAGTCGTAGTTATGAAATATACGTAATTATTTATTAGATCATATTTACACCATGAAGTGAATCCAGGAGAAAGAAAAAAACATCTGAAAAGTAGCCGTTGTTGCTGCCAGGTTGTGGAGATATAGTGTACAAGGAATGACACATGAGTTACAGTGTACGCGGCAAACAATTTTGCAGATTAAGTTAACAAGCATGAGTTAAATGTTTTCATTTCTTTTCAGTATTAATACGGACGGCAAGAGAAGGCGAACTGTTGTAAAACAAATAATGTACAAAAAAGCGTGAAAAAAATTATGTAAAATAGTAGGATCATCATGTAAACAAAACAACATAGGGAAATATATTTGAAATGATAATTCTGATGGACGAAAAAATACTGATGAAACAAAACAATTCATTGAACAGTGTCAATTTTGAAGAAAGATGGAGTCGGATTTTCTATCTACAGGGTGTAGAATAATATACTTCGAAAGCAATATAGCATTTACGCTTCTTTGACAATGAATAAGTAATTAAACGAAATTATAATAGAAGTGGTAAATGATTAGATGATGTGATTCTTAAAACGCGAAAAAACTAGTCACCTTGATATCGAATTCAATAAATTACACTTAACATAGTAATCGATACAACTTCAAAATGAATAATGAGAAGTCATAAAAAATGTATTCCAGATTTTATATAGTGTTCTTATGATATGCTACTACATACCTTTAACAGTAAACTAAAATTTACAATAATGGTTATCTGTGACAGATAGGTGATAGAAGACAGATAAATTAGAAAATGTTTAGAACATCACTAGAGTTAATGGTACTTTTTTTCCTTATTTATTTCCTTATGAAACTTTGGAAACTGTGATACTGCGTTGTAACGTAATAAAGAGGATAATGTGGCTATAAAAAGTCACTGTGAGAATCCCCAACAGATGTTACCACATTTGGATATTAAATAGTAATTAGCTTAATACAATTAACCTATAGCCCAATACCCTCACTGTTGACACTTTATGTAACCTGAAAATAAATGAAGGTTTTAAACATTCCAAAAAATCAAACAAAGCTAGTGAAAAACAGGTTCATGTACTGCTAGTGGGAAATTTATATCGTGCCAATAGCTGATAACATCCAGATATGTATAGAGTAGACTGTGATTATGAATTCTACATAAAATATCAATGCTTCAACTTCAAAGAAACGTATAGTGGCAATTTTTTTACTTAAGGATGTAGGAAGTTACGCTTTTAAGGGAAATTATCGCTAACAAAGGTAAACGGTACATATATGATTGGGTAAATTTAGTTACGGCAGGCTTACCTATGGTTTATGTTTATACACTGTCTGCAACACCTAGTTTACTCAATGAATCCTGTTCGAAGCGTCTTTGAGCCTCTTGTTGTCGTTGATAATGTTGTTGAAGCTGTTGCAATCGAGAAGTTGGTCCTGGTGTCAAACGTAAAGTTGGTGGGAGAATAGGTGGGGGATTTGATGAATTCGGAGAGAAGTGAGGCTGAGAGCTGGTTGAAGTAGAGAAAACAGACTGAGATATTTTGAGAGATGCACTATCTGAAGGAGAGCGATGGTTGGAACTACTAACAGCTCGTTTACCTAATTGCCATGTTCCACGACTCTGATGAGCCGGCTGATTCCAAAGTGTAGTCCCACTTCCAGAAGTGGAGCTTGAAGAGCTAACAACAGTAGACATAGAAAACGACAAATTATTTTCTGCAGCAAATGTTGTAACAACACCGGTGGCAGAGCGCGAATCGTCACGTTCGAGCAGGCTTTTAAGCAACTGAGATGCTGGGTTAGTCGCTAATACTGACTGGTTTGAGTCAACAAGCGCTAAGGAAGTAGCACACAAATTGCGTCGAATTGGAATTGATGAACCATCATTAGTTAGGTTTGATGTGCCGATATCCATGATATAAGTTCTGCTAGTGGTTACTTCGCACGGTAAAACAGTATTAGCACTAAGTGAACCAGGTCTATACATGCCAAAACTACTACTGGGTACTGAAAATCTACCTAGTGCTGCGGTATTCGTACTGAATGGGGATATGCTGAATCCTGGTGCAGTCGGTAGCATGACTGGTCTATCTGATTTCGGTAAAATTTTCCTAAAAGAGTGGTACTTGTGGACAATTGTTCTTTTGGGCTGCCCTGAGCATACAGAAGCATTTTTACAGGATTGGGCAGTGGTCATAATAGGGATTCCAACCGAACTAGAAAAAATAGGAGATGTGGAAGAGGAAATGAAGGGTTTGTCTGACAGTAAAAAGTGATCACCAACACTTTCATTCATTGACGCTCGCGATGTAGAAAGACTTTGACCAACAATACGACTACCTGAAACGGAAAACGATGTGATACAATGAGATTAGATCAGACAATGTTGAATCTCGCAGATGTGCGTTAGTCCATGTTACCAAACCATATAAGCACAATATGAAATTGACAAAATGTATAGCAAAAGAATAAATTAACGTAGTATCAATAACAATGAGAAAAACTAAGTATTGAGAATATGCTTCAGAAAGACGTAGTGGGAACGTATATATGAAGAAATGCTGGGATCCAAGATGAAGAGGAAGATAGAGAGTGAATGTATCTGTGCCACTGTAAATGATTCTGACCCATATCATCTAAAATCTCCAGCCATCAATCGCGATTGTATCGTGAACTCCAACTAGGTAGTCAGCTGCTACCAGTATAACTCACATCAACAATCATGAACTGATGCCATATTTCAGTTTAGCATCCTCTACCATTTTACCAGCTTATTTATACACCACCCAAACATTCTCCCGTTGAGGTAGGTGGAGACTGAGAACATGTAAAGAGACAATGAGATATTCAAAAATAACAGCAAAATCATCAACTAGAGGATATAACAGACAAATACCTTTCCTGTTTATGAAGTTCGTAAATAATGTATCGATTCACGTAGTCTTATAATACTACTTGTGACTTGAATAAAAAATATCTATTGATAGAGAATTTTGTGCGAACACTCACACTGTATGATACATGAACAACAAACATAATTTCTTGTGTTAGTTTAGTCTAAACTTCAATAAATTTTAAAAAACACAGCTTCCTATCTAAACTGCGAAACAAGAGAAAGACTTGAAAATAGAACTAAGTAGTTTATGTCGACAAGTATAACATTTAAACTCTACAGATAAAATCGTTAAATATGTTAGAAAGTATTTACGGTGAAAGGTAAAGAATCACACCATATATCCTATACAATTAGTCAGATACAGCACTTTTTAACTGAGTAAGTAGATACTGTTATCAGACTAACTGTTATACGGGCTGTTTGGATATCTGTGATAAGTTAACTACAAGTAGCATTAGGCAATTTTCGTGTCATAGAAGCAAATCTTTAAACAATGATCAATTTGAGCTGAAAACAAGATAAGGGATATAGTCAGTTTCATATTTTTCAGCTACAATCATTTAAATAGGAACGGAAAGATATTTTCTCTTTTACTTAATAAACATGAAAGTATGAACTACGTAGCACTGAACAACACAAGTTATATAAAAATAAATTTTTATTCAGCATATCTATGAAAAGTTTACATCTGACCTTAAAGGATATTTAGTTCCTTACCACACTAAAACAAACCAATGAAGTAGTTGTGCTCACAAAACTACTGATTGATTTGTTTCTTCTACACTATGTTATGTACCCGACCTCGGCGTTGCTCACTTGAATAGGTTATATTACTTAAATGATCACGTTTTTAGGTCATGTAACAGAAAAGAGTACACTGATAGCCTGTATACATGACACATAACACACCAAAATACACGTAACTGAAGTAGTTCGGGTAGCTCGAGAAATGTTAACAAAACTGCTAATGTGCCTAACCACACACCATTCTGTACTGTTAAATAAGATATTATAAGGGATCGTTCCTAAAGCATTATGCGACAACTTACAGATGCAAATAACTTAAATATTGATTTTTTCAAAGCCATTTTGTTTGACAGGACTAACCAGTTCCAACTTAGATCAGAGGGCCGTCAGGTAAAATATGAGTGTCTAAAGATCCGGGTGCAGAAAAGGGTACCACTGGAAGGATGGATATATCAAAGCTAAATAAAGGTAAGTGAACATCCTGAAAAACTAATATAACCCACTTATCAAACACAAGTTTACGTACCAGGATTTAGGTCGAATTGTATGACGGTTGATGACACTAAACGATCGCCTAAAGAAAAGCGGGCGAAGTCGGATTCGAGAGTGCCACTACCCAGTAGGAATCCGAGTGCTTTAATCATTAGGATAAGCCACTTGAGGAATAGTAATTTAGGGACGCGATATGATCTGCACCATTAAATTGGGAATCAGATATGTTGTCAGACTAAAATGGATAAAAGATGGACCAGTATCCCAGAAATCAACCTAAACTTGAAGTCAAACCGGGAATAAATATTACAATCTACAGGGATAATGACGAAATTTAAACTTCTTAAGTACTGAAAAACCTACAGATTCCAGTCTCTTAAATTTGGTGACCGAATAAAGTAGCGCTTTCGTTATTTATATACTCATTGTTGAGCTAAATTGTACTATACTGCTGATCTACTAATTACTCAACATACCTGTATTTTGGTCTGCTTCCGTAAAACAACGAATTGTAGCAGGTGCTAAAGGATTAAAACATTGTGATGGCAACCTCAAGCTGCATGTGAGTGTGGGATTAAAAGTAGGACGTCCAATTGGCCAATTTATGCAAGGCGCTCTCATTACTGTAGGGCAGTGAGCGCTCATAAAAGGAAGACCTTCTGGTTCTGAAGATATAGTTGTTGGTACACTAGATAAGGCGCTGTTATCGAAAAAACGATTTGACGTTAACTTATGAGACGGTACAGAAGAAGACTGAAATGAAGTAGCAACAGAAGGTTCATACATTTTCGTAACGTTTTTGAGCTCAAAATCTTCCATATCATCATCGTCATCATCATCTATTTCAAGTTTTGGGTTACTTTTATGAGCAGGATATTGATTTAAATCCAAGGGGAATGGTCGAAATTCGGAGTTAAGCTCAGTGGTGTTTGACAATACTGACGAGGTGTAATGAATGGACTGCTGAGATTGTTGAAGCTGGGAAGTTTGTGGGCACCGTGTGACAATTGCTTCTGATTCGAGTGACTAAAAAAATCACAATTTTTCTAACTTTAAAATGCGGTTAAAACGGAATAAACTGATAAATAACAATTATAAGTTGTAAACAACCAACAAACTGAGAAGCAAATGAACGAAAGGACGCACCTTTCATGAAGACCCAGTAAGATTTGATAACAGCTATTTTGAGTGATCATAAGAAGCATAGAGTAATACAGTCTTTAACAAGGCATTGAAAAGCTTAATCAGTACAACTACCAATATTCATTTGAGCACTTATATACAGTAGTAACTACATAATGTAAATCTAAAAAGTTTTTGATTGAGATCTTGAACCAATTGATGTTAGACCATCACAATTGAAAACCTGGAAGCACTGGAGGGCCGTTTCGTCCTATTGTGGGACTCTTCAGCAGTGCGCATCCACGATCCGGCGAGCGGGATTCGAACCCAGGGTCTTCGGTCTCGCGCGCGAACGCTTAACCAACTGGACCACTGAGCCGGCATCCAATGGTGATAGTTTCTAACATCAACCAATCCACGAAATTGCGCGACCAACTTCCATTGTACTGAGCTAGATAACTGTCTCTACCCGACAAGGATTAGCTCACTGGTGACTAGCTTCGTGAGGGAATTCTCGGAGTTCTAGTGAGAAGCCGTGACCAGTGGAGCTAATCCTTGTCGGGTAGAGACAGTTATCTAGCTCAGTACAATGGAAGTTGGTCGCGCAATTTCGTGGATTGGTTGATGTTAGAAACTATCACCATTGGATGCCTGCTCAGTGGTCCAGTTGGTTAAGCGTTCGCGCGCGAGACCGAAGGCCCTGGGTTCGAGTCCCGCTCGCCGGATCGTGGATGCGCACTGCTGAAGAGTCCCACAATAGGATGAAACGGCCGTCCAGTGCTTCCAGGTTTTCAATTGTGATGGTCTAACATGAATTGGTTCAAGATCTCAATCAAAAACTTAATAACCTCCACAACCCCTATACTAGTAAAAAGTTTTTATATGACATGTGATAAGAGCTCGTATAGGGATGTTAAGCAGTTAGATTTAGTGATATTTATCACGTTAAACAATGAACATATGAATACTTAAATTTTGAATATAACACAAAACTGAAAATACTTTCGCCGCGTTTCGATTCCAAGTTAACTTTGAATCAATAAAACATGAGATTTTGCTTGTGCATATTCCAAAAAACAATTAAGGCGTTTCATTTAGTTAACACATTAAAGGTATACTGAGCAAAAACCGTGAAACGTGAAGACTAGGCTAATTCATCAACGTATTTCATCCTAGTATAACATTATTTATTACACTGAATGACACCAAAAACTTGGAAAATACCCACTGAATACTTCAAATGATCACGGTTATTCACACAAATTCGCTCAAATGATAAAATTGAGAACCATCTTCTAGTTTTCGAAGTATCGAGGATTGGAAATGCACAGATGAAGTGATAGTAAAAGATCCAAATTAAGCACATCATACACTCATGTGTTATACTTTATTCACTTGAAATGAGAATGGTTGAACAAGTGAATTGCGGTTAGCCACATTTAAAAAATGGGTGTATTGATCATTTTGTCGAAGCCTTTTGTGTAGATCTATTAGAAATCTTACGGTAATTACAGCTTACGTTGGCCCCCGAACGCCCTGGTACGGCCGAGAGTGGGGAAAGTCCGCTCTCCCTCTCGAAATACTTTCACACGGCCGCGCGTATACAGCCTCTGCCAGGGAAGTCCTACTTATTGCCTTCTCGTGGCGGGGGTGTTGTTTACGAAAATGAGAGGACGAAAAGCGAACGTCCGGCGCTTTAACCGGATCACAAACCAATGGTGCACATGGGCTCCAGTATCCTGCGGGAACAAATGGCGTATGAACCAATCGTTGGTCACCGGCTACCATGGGATTGCATCTCCTTACGATGCTCCACTGCCTTGTGGGTTAGACCATTAGGTCAAAGGCTCGGGGTGTGGCCCCCTAAGATAACCACCTGCTTCGGTTTGGGCACCCGGGCAGTATCACAGCCCACACACAAACGATGAACTCTATGACTATGGCAACTATTTTTCTCGCTCCGATAAACAATCAATCGATTCAAATAATTATCATTACTATTATTGTCATTATTAATACTATTATTATTACCATTATTGTCATTATTATTATTATTATTATTATTATTATTATTATTTTCCACATTATTCACCCTCTTTTATACTTATACAGCGGCTCGTCTTTGGTGGAAATTCGACTGTATCTAAACGTTCTCGAGTCACTGTCCGGTTGAAAATTGTATGTTACCACCGAATACGAGAACTGAAGCAGTTTTTCTGACACCACGTGCACCATTCAAACTGGCTGCCTTCAACGTTCGCACACTAGTGCAGGTCAGACAACAGATAGGGCTGGCTATGTCTTTGGAAAGTCTTAATATTGATGTTTGTTGTCTATCCGAGACCCGTATTCAAGACTCTGGCGAAGTACTACAAATTCGATCTCCATCTGTCGCTTCGAAAAGCTTGTTTTACGTGCGCTTATCCGGGGACCCTGTGGCATCCTCGTCTGGTCTTGCTGGCGTTGGTGTCGCACTGAGCGCTAGAGCTGAGGCAGCACTAGTCGATTGGATCCCCATTAACAGTCGGTTATGTGCTGTTAGATTAGAAAGTTCCATCAAAGTGAGAAGAAATCGGCGTGAGAAACGATGTCTTTTCGTCATCTCCGCCTATGCCCCGACAGATTGCAGCCCGGATGCAATCAAGGATGAGTTTTACCGCCAGTTATCTGTTCTTCTCCAGAAAGTGCGCTCGACAAATATTGTAGTACTAGCCGGAGACTTGAATGCTCAGGTCGGGCGTCTAGGCACAGAAGAGAGTCGTTTAGGTGGCCGATGGAGACTCGTTGGTCGCAGGTCAGATAACGGGGACCGTCTACTGCAACTGTGCACAGACCACAACCTGTTTCTGGCTAGCACTAACTTTCGGCACAGTCATCGCCGATGTGCCACCTGGCGTCCTCCTTCTGCATCCCAAGCCTGGACTCAGATTGATCACATCGCGATCAGCTTCCGCTGGCGTGGTTGTGTAAAAGACTGCCGCTCCTTTTGGAGTACCTATCTGGACTCTGACCATGCCTTGGTCTGCGCCAATCTTGCCTTACTTTTCAGTGGACAACGAAGTGACCGCCATCAACGGATTGATATTAGCAAGCTGGTTGCAACTTCTGTTGCAAATAAGTATCGAACCGAGCTAGCCTCTAGGCTAGCTACCACTCCACCGAAAAGTATAGATGAGCATTGGTTGCAATTGCATGACGCCATGAAAATGGCGGGAACAGTCAGTTGTGGGTTCGCGAAACGTCCCGCTTTTAAGCACTGGGTTTCTTCTGGTTCCTTACAACTCATTGAAGCCCGTCAGTCTACTCCGGGTGACCGTGAGTTTGACCATAAACGAAGGATGTTACGTAAGGAAATTGGGCAAAGCTTGCGTAAGGACCGAGAAGCCTGGTGGTCGAAGCGTGCTAATGAGCTGGAAGCAGCAGCTGCATCTGGTAACTACCGGAAGCTCTTCCAGCTCATCCGAGCCACTGGCAGCAAGAAGTCTGGTGTGAGTGAAACAATCTGCGAGGATGATGGGATGCCAATCACTAACATCCATCGACGTCTTGGACGATGGGCAGAATTTTTCGAAGGGCAGTTCAACTGGCCTGCTGCTCCGGCAACACCGGTCAGACTGTCCTGCCCTCCATGGCCGGTGACGATTGATCCACCAAACGAGGAGGAAGTGCGCAAGGAACTCCAACTCTTGAAGCGTTACAAATCACCTGGCCCAGATGACTTAACTCCGGCTCTTTTTAAAGATGGTGGTGACTTTTTGACTAAGGAATTGACGATGTTGTTTACAAAAGTTTGGGAATTAGAGAGTGTATCAACGTCATGGAATGAGTCGATAGTTGTCCCTATCTTTAAAAAGGGTTCACGTCGTTCCTGCAACAACTATCGGGGGATAAGTCTACTTCCGATTGCGTCCAAGCTATTGGCTTCCGTCATACTTCGTAGGTTGTTCAAAACCCGAGAAAAATTGACTCGCGAGGAGCAGGCTGGGTTTCGTTCTGGTCGAGGATGTATTGATCATATCTTCACCCTCCGCCAAATGTTAGAACATCGCCATACTTATCAAAGGCCAACAATCGTAGTGTTTCTTGACATCAGGACTGCCTTCGATTCGTTGGACAGGACTGTTCTCTGGGATTGTCTATTGAAGGAGGGTGTGCCTGAGAAGTTTATTAACATCCTAAAAGCCCTATATAAAAACACCTCAGGCAGAGTGAGGGCATACAACCACCTCTCTCCATTGTTCCATTCAAGCAGTGGGGTTAGACAGGGTTGCCCAATCTCACCATTCCTCTTCAACTTCGCCATCGATGACATTCTGGAAACAGCTCTGATGAATGTAAGTAATGGTGGTGTGGATCTGTTGCCCGGAGAAAGACTTCTCGACCTTGAGTATGCGGACGATATTGTCTTACTGTGCGATAATGCCCAAGCCATGCAATCCGCACTTAATCAGTTGGCAATCAGTGTCCGTAGGTATGGTATGTGCTTTGCACCTTCGAAGTGCAAAGTACTTCTACAAGACTGGCAGGATTCCAATCCTGTACTCACCCTGGATGGTGAGCAGATAGACGTAGTCGAGAAGTTCGTGTATCTGGGTAGTGGGGGGTGTGGGGAGTGTGAGTGATGAGATCAATGCACGTATAGTGAAAGCCAGAGCGGCTTATGCCAATCTGGGCCATCTTTGGCGCCTTCGTGATGTTAGTCTGGCTGTAAAAGGTCGGATCTACAACGCGTCGGTGAGAGCAGTTTTGCTCTATGCTTGTGAAACCTGGCCTCTCCGAGTTGAGAACGTTAGACGACTCTCTGTGTTCGATCATCGCTGTCTCCGAAGGATTGCTGACATTCAGTGGCAACACTATGTTAGTAATGCAGAGGTTCGGCATCGTGTGTTTGGGCACAGAGATCATAATTCAATTGGTGTCACCATCTTGAAACACCGACTTCGGTGGCTTGGACATGTTCTACGAATGTCGTCCCAGAGAATTCCACGTCGTGCATTATTTGCCAACTCTGGGACTGGTTGGAAAAAGCGGAGAGGTGGTCAGTGCATGACATGGTGTCGTGGTATGAAAGAAAGCTGCAAAGGACTGGCTTCTGTCGATCCTTCACGACTCCCTGGTTGGGGTCTGAGAGATGGTGCTACACAGTGGCTAGAGACGTTATCAGATATGGCTCAGAATAGAAGCCAGTGGCGATCCTGCTGTAACCTTCTTTTACTTTCTTCATAAAAAGTGGTTGTGTCTCCCTTACTTGAAAGATTTCTTCTGATTGTACCTTTCCGTCCCATCGTTACGACCACACTACCTTACACCAATCTCTTCGTTATCGTTCTCTTTTTCTTTTGTGCTTCTTAGTTTGTTTTTTTCTATCACTCTTCGAATTTTCATTGTTTTGTGTGGCGCATATATATTGGCGCTCTCTTGTACCAATATTTATGTGTTCAAATAAATAAATAAATAAAACGTTGTCCTATATTATACTAGCTGTGTTCAGTAACCATTCAATCGAGGCACTATTACTTAAAAACCAATTTACGAAACACAATTCATAATGAACACTAGGTGATGAACAACGTACACCAAATGGAATAACACTAAGGAGGAGTCCCTTTTGTAGCACGAAAACCTTGCAGATGAAAGATATTAACATTAACAGCCACTGCCAGGGAAGTTTCACTCATTGCCTTCTCGCAGCCAGTGTGTTGTTCATGTAATTCAGAGGATGAAAACGAATGTTCGAAGCTTTAACCAGTTTAGTAGATATGAAAGACTCACTTACGAGAGTTGGAAAACCCCAATTCTAAACCAATGGTGCACATGGGCCCCAGGATCTTGAGGGAACAAATGATGTATGAACCTATTGTTGGCTACCGTCTACCGTGGGAGTGTATCTCCTAACGTTGCTCCGCTGCTTTGTGGACTAGGCCTCTAGGTCAAAAATTTGGGGAGTGGCTCCCTAGGTAAGCCATCTGCTTCGGTTTGGGCGCCCCGGCAGTATTCTGGCCCTTACACAAATTGAATGACGAAGTGTGGCGCATATATATTTGTCACCTCATTGTACCAATGTTTATGTGTTTAAATAAATAAAAGATTTAATACAATGATCTGTACTGACTAGAAGTATATAATTTACAATCTTGGAGTCCATTGAAGTAGAATTGAAGATTATGCTTAAGATGGAGTGAAAAAACCCTAACCTCAAAAATAGTCTAAGGAATAACCAAACTGGAAACAATGTGGTGTTTGTGGTGAAGAGTTGACAACTCATTATATAAGATATAAAACCTTTAATATGTCAGTCAGTCAGTGAGCAACAACGTAGAACTTCGTACGTACGTACACCAGTTCGAGTTGCCATACCACATTAGCACAGAGATACAATTGTCAATTCAAATCCCGTAGTGGTAGAAATAGTAAAAGTATAAGCAGTAATCGGAAAGATTAGCGTTTGAAGATGTGATTTAAAGAGCATAATCCAGTGAAATAAATTTGGGAAGAGAAAAAAGGGAAATGAAGAATCCAGACTAGAATTTGACATTAGAATTTTATGTGTAAAACCAGTTGTCTGATATGCTACTTGCCTAAATCTTATTATTTGTGATAACCGGAAAACCAGAAGTCCTGAGTTTCCTGAGCACTTAAATTAATTTCTAAAGTGACGCAGAAAAATTAACCCACCAGATGAATAACTTTTAGTTGTTTTCATGGAATCAAACTTCAACAGTTTAGTAGTATATACCGAGACATATGAAATGAATGCAAATTACTTCTCTCGTAAATGATTCACAAATCATTCGAGAACATACATTATAGATAGTAAAATAAAATTAAGGTCTAAGAACTTTACTGCTTACTTGTGACTGATTTTGAGAACGAGCAGGTAGATATATAGGAGACTGGAACTGTGATAGTGTATGAGAAGTGCAGTGAGGAGATTTGGAGTCTCTTCGTTGAATTGGTCGCCCAGCCTCATCATGAAGACGTTTCAATTTGAGCAGTTGACTTGCACTAAGTGACGTAGCTGGTGTTTGGGAATCATCTATACCTAAAATAGCTTCTTCATCGTTGATTGAATTTGCGGCAGCAAAAGTATATGAACTAGTAGCACTGACTACGTTGTATGGAGTGCTACCTAAAGGGCACATATCCGTACCGGATGTGATTACATGATCCACACTTTTCATATCAGTTTCACTAGAAATCACATCTGACAACTAAAAAAGGAAAAAAGAAATAAGACTAGTAATTCTAAAAACAACAGACGTAACCAGAAGTTCACAGCTACTGACTTGGGAATAGGTAAAAATGAGGACTTGGACTACATCTACACAGCGAAGGTAATCTACCCAGAAAAAATTTCAAATCGCATAATAATTAATGCTGACTGAGAGAGCTAAAGTAACGAGTTGGTAGTGTTTCAAGTTCGCGAGTCCTACAAAATTAACATACGTTGCAGAATGTCTTTTTAATTTATTTGAATCATGGTAATCTGACACAAACTCTCGCAAATTATCTCAACAATTAACCTTAAGTTAGTTATTAATTAAATAGTTCGTTCATCCAAGTATTCGGTGGATTATTAAGTACCATTTATATACAGTATATTCAACCCCCCTAAATAATAGTACTTGTTTAGTGTAGTAGTCGGTATAAAAAAGATATTCTAAAGGATTGACTTAGTCCAAGATTATAAATACATTGCCCCCAGATGCCCTGGTACGGCCGAGAGTGGGGAAAGTCCTCTCTCCCTCTCAAAATGCTCTCACATGGCCACGCGTATATAGCCTCTGCCAGGGAAGTCCTACTCACTGCCTTCTCGTGGCGGGGGTGTTGTTTACGAAAATGAGAGGATGAAAAGCGAATGTCCGGTGCTTTAACCGGATTCCAAACCAATGGTGTACATGGGCTCCAGTATCCTGCGGGAACAAATGGCGTATGAACCTATTGTTGGTCATCGGCTTCCATGGGACTGCATCTCCTTACGATGCTCCACTGCCTTATGGATCAGACCTTCAGGTCGAAGGCTCAGGGAGTGGCCCCCTAAGAAAACAATCTGCTTCGGTCTGGGCACTCGGGCGATATCACAGCCCTCACACATATCGAATGAGATTTGTGTGGCGTATATGTATTTGGTGCCTGCTTGCATCAATATCTATGTTTTAAAATAAATAAATACATTAGCAATCTCGAACGTGTAACAAGAAACTGAATGATACAATGTGCTAATAAAATTATATTCTATAGTTTATCAGTGTGCAATAAAATTGTCTTGCGAAAAAAACATGGTGAGCATGAGTATCTTAGATGAAACACACTTCACTTACGAAATCTTTTACATCCACTTCATTTTCCTGCGTTTTAGTAATGGAATCGTTAGCATCAGCTGGATTTGCTTTTGAGATATTCTGTTCACAGTAATTTTCACTGGTAACACGTTCGACAGACACAGACCTTGACAGGTAATCTGTAGGTATATCTTCGTGATTAGTAGTTTCAACTGATGCACTTGCCTCCGGTTGATCAAGAGCGTCATGAAGTGTAGCTGTGATATCGGAATTCTGCATCTTTACTTTGGTTACAGTTTGTGGATCAGTTATAACTGAAGGTACAACAGCTAAAGGAGGAACGTTTATTTTTGATTGCTCAGTAGTTGATACAGGATTTTGCACGATACTTAACGATGTTGCAGTAGCTTGTAAACGTCTGAGTTGAGTTGCTGCAGAATAAATAGGTACCGACTGAGCGTCATGGAAAAGAAGGGTTGGTGCACATGAGTTTAGGCCAACTGAACTGCTGGATGTCGAACATGAAACAGCGCTAACGATAGAATTAGTCGCTAAATTATTCGTCAGAGAATTGGTAGACGTAACTGTCATGCTAACACTCGGACCGCCTAATGGATTAGTAGGAATTCTTTTGCGATTAAGTATTTTCGGTATGGTGAGACTACCAGTATAAACCTTGCGAATAACTTTGCGCGGACTATGACGGCGAAATGGCAGGTTTTGAACGGCACCAACAATATAAATGTTAGCATCACGTTTAGAAGCTCCATGACTGGAATTACTTGAATTAATATTTGAACAGTTACCGATATGAATGGCCGACGACTCTTCAGAAGTCACAATGTGTTCGTCGTCCTTCGCTGATGAAACGCGAGACGAGGTTGTTGGGCGTTTATGTACGTCTGTATTACCAGTTATATAGCTAAGTTCGAGTGGTAGGCAAGAGCGATGAGCTTCTATCTTAGTCGAGCCAGAAGACGGGTTGACTTGCAGATGCCGAAGTGAAGCTTTATCAAGCGGTTCGAGAACAGAATAGTAATGTCCTGGCTTACTATCAGCATTATACAGAACATGATGGCTGATTTTCCTGCTGACACTCAATTTTTCAAAGTGTTTATACCGGTGTGTTCCAGACTCCTCACAATCAGAATGGAACTCTCGTACATAATTTGTTGAGCGATGAATAAGTAAACCCGAATCACTTTGATATCCAACAAGCAACGAAGAATCACTTGGGTCTTTATAATGATGGGACTTATTTATATGACGTGAATGTGATAAATACGAATGACGTGAGGCTAAACAAGAAATCCGCCTTGGACGATTGTGACTTTTGACTTTTTTCCAGGCATTCTGATCGCAGACGGACAAAGAGCGACAGATAGAGGCTCTATCATGAGGACCTAACCTTGAGCGAAACAATGAACTAGGACACCGTGTACGTCTTATACCTGCTTCATTTTCAGAAGAGAAAGTAAGGACAATGTTATATTCAGCATCGTTGTTAGCATTTTGTCGAAGAGCAAGAGATTGTATAAAAAAACCTGTACGGCTCATACGTTGTGTAAGAATATTCAATTCCTCTGCATGAAGTTGTTTAATATGGATTTCATCATCATTTTGCGACACACTACAATTTAGTCCCAAGACTAAACGATCAAGGAGAGTGAGTTGGCACATCCTATCTGGTCGTCGAGGGATGCGATGACGAGACGCATGACTATGACTGGGTTCTGGTAATACGATTCGGCGGCTACTGAACTTAGAACTTGTATGGATGCGCCGAGAACTTAATGAACGCTCTGACTTTCGTGGTGAACGAGACTCTAAAGCGCTATGGCAACAGTAACTTGATCCTGTTCGTTCGGAATGCCCAATTTTTGAAGGACGGTGGTGGTACCACCTTGCTTGGCGAAAAGACCTTCCATAAGCATCTACTATGCCAGACTTGGATGTTGAAGATGATGCAGAAGAATCGTCACGCAAATATGTTTTTTCTGAATACCAATTGTCCCGTCTATGGGAAGTCAAGAAGCGTTCATTTGGACGCTTTCTCTGGAATGTGATTGCACGGCGTTTTTTGCGACGTCTTTCGAGACGCCGATCACCAGATAACTGTATGGAATTATTGTAATTTAAATTGAACCTTTCAGCATCGTTAGAACTACTAATTTGAAGATGAGTCCTACTTTCTGGTTTTAGTTGTATTTGGTTTCCCATGACTGTTTTGCGAATATCACAAGAATCTTCCAGAATATCCTGTTCGAGATCACAAGGTCTATTATCGAGTGACCTTATAGGTGAAAAGTTACCAACATTTTCCATGCGAACTTTTGAAGTAAAACTTGCTTGACGTTGGCGACGCTGAAGATTGTTACTAAAACCTGTGACTTCATTCTGCTTACTTGAGGAGACATAACAAAACTTCCAATCAATATGATGACTTACGTCTGGATGGCGACTAGTTCTAGATGATATAGAAACGTTCATTTTAGCAGTACGATGTGCAGACTGACCTGCTCTTGAGTCCAGACATAATTCATCTACATATCCAGTACTTTGAGACCTAATAGGAGTAATCTGAAGGCTACTCTGAACATGTGATTTAGCTCGAATGAGCTTCTTAGCAGCAGTCAACCTCGCTGCTGACACAGTAGTCGAACGTGTAGATTGATGTCGAGTTTTTTCATTATTGTGAATACCATCAAGTGAGATGAGACCATCAATATGGGAATGATGACTACTTTGAGATATCATGTCAGAGTATCGTCGTGGACGAGGATTAGGACGTAAACGGCCCATCAAATTTCGACTCAATTGCTTACTTCGATCTTCCCGTCGTCTGCGCCATACTTCACAAACACCTGGGCGCAAGAGGCCACTCATTGCTAAAAATAAATCTTTTGAAGCGAGGTCATCATTTAATCTGTCTTCTTTGCAAATGGAGTCAAAAATTTTTTCAACAGAAGGAGAATTGAAGCTCATTACAAATTGATTTTCATCGACCTTGCCAGGCGGGGTAGTAGGTTTTTGACGATCTTTTCTTATACGTTTGACAGGCAACTTTACAAAACCATACTCATTTACTTCATTTAACACTTCTTGGAGAACATCATCAGTGGCACCAAAACGAAGTTGAAAGGGTGAGGCTGTACATGATGTGCGCACTAGATCAATACTTGGAAACCTCCGTTCTTTAGTGATTTCTGGATATGAGTGATGTGAATCCTGGGGGAAATAAACTGACTCCTGGACTTCATCTTGAGTGACTTCCTTGCTTTCAGATTTTATGGGAGCACCGGTTTTCGGAAGTAGTGCAGAACACAGCTTAAGAGGAGGTCTTCCACGTCGTCGTTTCGTTGGTAAAGGTAAATTAGCAGAAACTTCACTATCTTTTTTAACGTTTGATCTGTTATCGTCAAATCTGTAGCTGCCTCCATTTGGTTTGTCGGGCCTTAATGTACTTTCCGGGTCTACACAGTCAATAACAGAAGTATTGTGTATTGGAGAATCACATTTCTTGGGGAAGCTACTTTGGACAGTGGTCCCGCTAGCTATTAAATCTACCGACTGCCTAGTCGAATTAGCTCCGGTGTCACAAATAGACCTAGGAAGACCTCTAGAGAATCGTGGACGTCCTCTTTTGACTCCCCTACTAATTGGCCTACCAGGTGGATTACTAGTGTAAAGTTTTGGCTCGACCTCAACACTAGGTTTCGACAGATCAAACTTGGACTCATCTACTTTTATTTCGCTTAGACAAGATCTCAGAGTTGAACTGTTATTTATCGAAGAAAATGAGTCACAACCTTTACTTTTTGTTCGCGTAGCATACACGGTATGCATTATAGGATTAGATGAAAAACTGCAAGTTTTGGATTCCAAGTGTACCGTACAGGGCAAACGACTACTTCCACAAAGACCCCGACTACCGCGCTTACGTATTCTTGGTCTTCCCAGGTTGCTCCCTACACAAGTTCGTGTAACCTCGGATGACCAACGAGTTCTTGGTTGACTCCGTAAAAATAAGGCACTAGTACGACCTCGTTTTGAACCAGAGCACTTATGATCAACAACACTTTTATGTTTGCTATATTTTGGGCCCAATCCTAGCGATGATACAATAGATCTTTTCTGACCTCGGTTTCTGAAACAAAATAATAAAGGACAATGGTGAAACTAATTCACACTGCAACAAAGTATTTACTACAAATTTTTATCCTTTGAAGTGATCTGAGCATTCTAATGGTAATATTTAGTAATTGAATATTAAGCTATACAAATCTTAAGCGGCTATTTAGCATATAATTTCATTATTTTGTAGTCTACATAGTCGCAACTTGACACACAAGCTTATTTGATCTTAGCGGCGGCAACGTGAGGTCCGAAGTATTTTATAATTTAAACTACTTTGTATCTAGGTATATATATAATTGTGAAAATCTCACAAATATGAATACATTGAAATATACACGGATCCAGTGTTGATCATAAACACCTTGAAATGAAACGTATAAAAATGCAACAGAAGTAATGATACCATAAAAGGTAAAAACTCACCTTGTCCGCATCATATGAGAAAAACGAGACCTATAAATATGCAATAAAAAATGTAGGGCAATGATAACAAGGGACGTTCGTGCACATTAAATGAAAAATTAATTCCATGGAGTGCAAAACTCGAACCAGATAGTAAAAATTAGGTCATCGTTCGGATATAAACCATATTAACTAAAAGTTTAATTCATACTTTAATTGGAAATCTGCATATCTAACTATATCAAAAACCATTCGAGGTTTGTAGAAAACGAATCGAACTCGTATTTAACGCAAGATAACAACTTACAATCACAAAAGTTTTGAAGAACAAAATTTGACCGATATATTTATTTGGGATACACACAACACAATAGCAAAATCGAAACCAAAACGAGCTGCGCGGGTCTCCACCGACCTACTGTCCAATCATAGGGATTGGCAGGCGTTCCAGCATAAAGTCGATTGAATAATTATAACAAGTTTAATAAAAATATTCGTTCTGTGAATAATACATCGATCATCAGAGTATATTAAAGTGTTTTTTGGTTAACTGTCTTATTTACTTCCGAAAAATTTACCAACCGATCTTTGGTGTTAGATACACAATTTTCGTTTCACAAATTTACAACCCGTTTCAAAATAACGGTTAACTTTGAAGCATGTAGTAATTTGTTATGTGTTTCTTATGTATGTTAACAAACCACATCCCCACCGTCTTTTCTTCTGCTTTATTGGTAATGGCCTTCAATTAAATATTATAATAGTAATATAACATACTTTTAGACCACTCCACACTATTTGGAAATGTTTGGCCTGTAATATTATTCAATAACGTTGTCGGGGTTACATTTCGTTTCACACCGTCAGTCCCAATCGTACTAGGGAACATTTGTCAATCGGGTGGGATCTATCTGTAGTTGTCAACCCAAAAAAAGCTTACAAATAATATTCATTTTAACTGTGATCATTTTTCTTATTTAATATGTCATCTTACTGTAAGTGCAATTTTTTCACCTTTTTATTCATAAAAAGTCACTCAAGTTTAGTGTTGTAGGGCCAGCGAAATGTGTGATTTAATCCTAATTATTAATCAAAAATGGGTGCAAAACCAATATATAAACCAGTGTATTTTAGACTATTTTGATCATCGTCGTCTTCGTGTTTTGGGGCTAATAAATCTTCACTTATACCAGTCTTGTGTTCTTACTTTCGCATCGTGGGAATTGTCGAGTTCCCTCGTTCCGAGTATAAGCGATCAGCGCTTTTGTTTATTCGGCATGTAGTTCACCAATGTAGATGATCCATGTCGAAATGATTGGAGGCCTACTTGAGTTAGGCGTGAATGGTGTGACAAACTAGCTAATGTCGAAGTCACACCTCGTGGTCAGCACCTTACGTGGACTACCCCATTGACGTATCAAGGTACCATAGATGCTTTGATGACTGTACAACACAGAGGACGTTATTACAGAAATATATTAGTTAAGGTAGATACAAGCGAAAGTGAGACCGCTGCCGCATGGGCTAGTCCATGACATACGATTAACTTATGCGCGTCGGTTGTCCCTCAGCTTGACGAGGATCGATGATTTGCTCGATATTCAATGACCCAACTTCCGGATGATTTGGCTAGGACTTAGTGACATTTCGCTGGCCCTACAGTGTTAATATTTTTTGGTACATTGTTGGTAACTGTGTATTGCTTTATCTAGCAAGTTACTCTGATGAATTGCAATTCAAATCTGACGAGCTCGGTATTTTTCCCCGAAACGATATTTCTTAGTTCACTGACAGACATTTGGCGCTTTTTTCCTTTTGAGTGATTTTTCTTATATATGTGGAGGCATTACAAAGTGGCGAGTTAACGGATTTACTTACTCTAAACTCAATAAATATGCCATCTTTTGGCAGACTAAACCAACGAATTTGGCTTATAAAAATGCAAGTACAATTTCATCAAACCAATACATGTTCATAGGCATAGAAATGCTCTTCCGTGTTTGAATTCTACTGACAGAAGTAGCATCAAATGTCTGATCTTCTACACAATATTCCAGTATTCAAATGACCCCAAAATGGGGTAAAAATACTCCAGTGAATTATGATAATTCCGCCTATACCGTAGAAGTAACAGAGTTATTTTTTGGCCATGTTTTCAGTTTAGTAAACATCAGGACGAAATCAGAAGTTTTACAGGTAACAGTTTCTGACATATATGCGGGGAGAGACTCACGGTAAAGCAGACGAACTGTAGGATTAATGCATTCACTATCGCTATTTATTGGTACAGCCGCATATACAGAAATCAAGCCGAACATTATTCAGCCACGTGCAAACGTTAAGGTCTTATTTGCATTTAATCATACGCCTTAATGTATTCTTCGAAGTGTTTAAACATTATATGCTGTCTGTCACACGGACTTGCCTGTGTAAATAATGGTGCGACTTCCACGTAAGATTAGGTAGTCACATTACAACAAATTTACAATTTTGGGATTAGGTATACCCTTTGAGTAGCAAAGATAGATGCACCGACTTAATAAACACTATCTGTTATTAATTCTCATATTCGCTTCAACTTTGTCGACTGACTTTTACTTACGTTAATCCATTATTCTATTGGTTTGTTGATTAGTGCTTATGGGTAATGTCGTATTCTAATAGTGATTGGTATCCATAATCAGTTTACTAGGTCGATCGATGCTAATAACTAATCAACTTTATTTATGATTAGTTCTAATCGTTCATCGGGAATCTTTGGTGGCATTCACATGCTTCAAGATAACACGTTTGTTAAAACATCCATCACTAACGAATATAGCGCCTGATCGACATAAATACACATGGATTGGCAATTATTGTGAGCAAGGACAAATGAATACCTGAATGTAATTCCTCATTATGTTCCTTCAATTACTATGTTAATATATTTTACACTATAGACTATCTCAAAATATCTCTGCGTTCGACCACTGACAGCCTAATTCAGAATTCTCGAATTCAATTATTAAACAACAAAGGCAAGATTCTGGAAATCTGCGATGAGGTCAAGCTATAAAAATTCTGCAATTTTAGGCACGATTTAAACTATAAGTACGATGAGAGCCATTAATGTACCTAAAATCATTTGAGCGTGTTGATCATCAATGTTGATGATCACTGTCGAATGACTGGAGGCCTACTCGAGTTAGACGGGAATGGTGTGACGAACCAACTAACTTCGAAATCACACCTCTTTGTCAGCGTCCAACGTGGATTACCTCCTCGATTTATCAAAATACTATGGCTGTCTTGAAGATTGTATAATACGAAGGATGATATTATAGAGATATATTAGTAAGAATGAGTACATAGAAAATAACGAGACCAGTCCGTGGCACACGACTAACTGATGCGCGTTGGTTATCCTTGACGTCGACAAGGATCGATGATTTTTTCGATATTCAGTGATTGGACTGCCAGATGGTATTGCTAGGGATCAGTGATATTTCGCTGTCCCTACAGATTTATACTTATTCAAACCAATAACAACGTCAACGGAATCTCACATACCGAGGAATTAGTTGCAATGATAAGCGTTTTATCAGATTAAACTAGACTAATTTATTTGTCACAGCTGGCGTTTTATGTCAAAACCGTTGAATAATCCCTATTTTGAGAATAATCCAGGCGAGTTGTATCATTTCAGCAGCTGGTTTACCATGTTTATCATATTTCGTAACATGTATATATTTTCACTCGATCTAGACACACATTCATTCGTTCAACTATCTCTTTCATTCCCGTTTTTGAGAAGATATGTATTCAAAAGTTTCGGACGACAACATACTATCATGAGGAAATGTGTATTTATTGGGAGAATCATTTTAGATTCACTATTAATTTGACACCACTTGGTCCTGATTATCGTCGTTACGTGTAAATGCTACCATGTTATCTGCAGTAACCTCTTCCGAAAAGTCTATATTTTTCCGTCATGCTCCTAGCTTTTGTTCCGTCAATTATGTTTCAGCTTTTGGATTTTCTGGAAAGTGTCATTTTGATTATTTTCTTTATCGAAGTGGATTTTAACCTAGCTTGCTTGTTGTTAAGTTTCATGTCAACGGAAATGTTAACGTAGCTTACATATACGCTATTTTTTGTTATCTTTATCCCATTCAGATTTTTTTATTGTTTGAAATGCTCCTGAAGTTTTTAAACCAAATCCACCTCTGCGTAAATTCAGATTTATGAGTTTGGCTATCATATTATTGCAATACACTAGTTTAATCACTTAACTATTACGTAGTTCTTTGTAACAAAAGTGGTCAAAATAGAAACTCTCTGGTGTACTTTGATCAATGTTCATACTTCTGCATCATGATTTGTAATGTAGTTAGGCGACTCTGATTTAGGTTTGATGGGCGGTAGTTTTTAGCCATCATCCACAAGCACTAATATGGATAGCTGATTTACAATTTTATCAGAAAATTGAGTTTAGTATATGTCTCTCACGACTACACCAATATTGAATTAGTGATTGTCAGCTGTCCACAAGAAATTTGTGAAACTACCACGGTTTTCACATAATTAAAGTTTTTTGATAACAGTTCGTTTATTTTAGAAACATAAGTGAATTATACTGCATGCATTTTGTTAATTGACTCTTGTCTATATAGGAACAAAACAGTGGTGCTGTTCACACGTCAAACTGTTATTATTATTATTATTATTATTATTCACAAACATCTTATGGGTACATAAGTGTTGTGAAGAAACCATTTCGGGTTTCTTCAGAAAATGCAATAATACACAATTTTCAATAATGTTAGCATTATACTTGCCATATTTAAAAAATAATATAAAATATAAAAAAATTTAGAATAATAATAGTAGAATATTAATAATAATAAATCGGGTCTGTGTAATTGAGAAGAATATTGAATTGAGTTTAAAGAAGGAAATGGAGAAAATAAGGGAATAGAAATAAAGGAGACGTGAAATACGCTAACAGTCTAATAGGCGTGTTTATAAACACAGAACAAGAATAAACGAC